TGAGTCTTCCTTTCTGAGGTCTTGGGCATTGTGGAACAGAGACAAGCCAGCTCTGATGCACCCTGTCCACATTCCTGACCCATGGAAATAATAAAAATTGCTGTTTTATGCATTAAATTTAGGGGTAGTTTGTTACATAACAAAAGATAATTGAAATATGCAGTCACTGAAGCTATCAAGACAGATGAGATCATTCAGTGAGAGTGTGTAAAAGTGATTAAGAGAAGAGTAAAAACACTTTAGGGAACCCTAGCCTTTAAGAGATGAGAGAAGAATAGGAAAATCATGACAAACAAAAAGGTAGCAGGGGGAAAAGTAGGGGTATCAGGAGATTGTGGTGTCATAGAAACCAAAAATAAAGTCATTGTCAACAGTGTCAGATGCTGCTGATAGGTCAAGTAAGATAACTGAAAAAAATGCCTTTAGGTTTTAGTTAACCAGGGAAGTGGTGACTCAGAAGGAGTAGCTTCACTGAGAGCAGGTAATAGAGATAGAATTCTTTTAGAAGAGAGGAGCAGGGATGACAAAGGAAAGACTGGTCTCAGAAGAGAGGCCACCTTTGGTCTGTGACAGAAGGGAACGGCGTGGTAATATGTGAAGATCCCAAGATTTCTGTTGAGTTGTTCACAAGAAGTTTAGGGAGTTCCTTCTGATGGTTTCTGTTCTCCCCAAAACTGAACCTTTGGAGGGAAAAACAAAGGGAAGGTGTTTTTTTGTTTCCAGTATGTGCTCTTGGCTTACCTGGGGGACCCCTGACTGATGCCAACACTCCCATAACCTTCCCAATGTGGGACCCAACTTTTCTCATGATGGAACTGGAGCTGGGCTACTAATAATCCTACACCTCATTACACAAAACCCTGCCACGTCAAGCTCAGGCCAAGGATATAGTGTGGGGCTTGAGGAGGTCCCTACTAGACCTGTTTGGCCCCTGCATTCCCCCCATTTAGGCACTTCATTGTCTTGGTGTTTAGCTAAATTCTTTTGAAGCTGCCAATCCATATGAGTTGTGTGACAGGCAACAAAAGGATGGGGTTTGTGTTCCTGAGATGGGCTGGTGTAGGAGCCCCAGGATGTGGTGACATGCAGAGATAAAGTGGACCACTAGGGCAGCTGCTGGAAAGCATACTCTGTAGATTTGGCTCTGATCAGAACTCTATTTTACTAATTGGGAAACTAGGTATGACCTTAGGGGAGGGACTTGCCCAACATCATCACACATCTGTGACGGCATTGAGCCCTGGCTAAAATCCAGGTGTTCATTCTTCTCAGTGTTTTCTCCATGATATCAAATTGTTGGAGCTCCAGAAACAAGACAGAAGCAAGGCAAAACAGATCCAGGTTGCTCTCTGATGGAAAAGGGTAGGAGGCCCCATAGGGCAGCTTGCCCAGTCAACAAGGGCAGGTACCTTTGGCTTTATTCTAGTGGATGGTCACATGATTAACATTTCTGGGCAGAAGACAGCCTGTGTAATTCAAAGCTGTTGAGACTGAAGAAAGATCCTTGCCTCCAATTCTAGGGCCTCTTTGATGGAGTTTCCCCTAACCGCATTCTTCCTTTTCCATTTCCCTTCTTATTTGTTCCATGTTCTGCTGGAAAGATTCAGAGTTCCAGAGGGCCAGCTCAGACTGGGAAGCCCTCTGAAGGGTGTCATAACACAGATGCATCCTAGATGGGCCAGTCGGTTATGTCTGAGACTTTCAGAGGTTCCTGGTGCTCAGTCATGCCTTCCTCTCCTGCCCTCAGTACTTTAACACAAGAAACTAATAGGTCATTAAATGAACCTCCCAAAAAGAAAGAAAGAAAGAAGAAAGAAAAGAAGA